TGACCATTTCCTCTCTCTCCTGTTTCATGATAAAGAGTCAATCCTGCCCCCTGCCCCAACAGAGTCAGACCTGTGTTGGTTGTAAAACAGGATTAACCTACAGATAATAAGTTCAAGGGACTGTATAAAGGAAAAAATATAATCTTATATACAAGTCTCTTTGACTGTAACAAACTATATTTCTGTGGCAATTGTAGTGCCTGGCTTCCTCAGTTCCTCCACTGATGAGCCCGGTATTTAACTACCTTCTATTTCCTCCTCTAGTCCCCTATTTAATTTCCAGACTTATTGAGGTTTCTAGGTAGCTTCTAAGCCTCCAAATGCACGATTCTGAGCAGCTGCCCCTGCAACCAGGGTACCACAGGGAGCAGCTGGGAGAGAGCAGCTGTGCTGGAGGCACAGGCAAGCCTGACCCACGGCACGGCACCGCGGCTCTCCCAGCACCCGCCAGCTGCACGGCACAACAAAAAACCCTTCAGCTCCGGGGACAGTCGCCACTTCCAGCCTGCAGGGACACGTTTATTCTGTTCTCTGCGGCAAAACAGGGAAAGGCCTAAGATTTCCTAAAACCAAGTAAGCCCCAAAACATGGTCAGAGCAGAAAGGTCTCACCTGACGGAGCCAGTGCAGCATTACCTGCCCTGAAATGCTGTGACTGGGGCCAATTTATGGTCACAGACTGGATCACATGGAACTAGACCCCCAACCTGCCCTTATACAACCAGTCCCCACAGCTGGGGGTGTCTCTGAAGGCTGAATCCCCCTTGCTACCTACCCCCAACTATCAGGTAGCAATAACTCTTACCAGCCTCCTCGGGAGGAGCACGCAGCACGGTGACAGCGGGGCCACAGCCCTGGAACAACTGCTGGCACATCCAGCAGGAACAGGGTTTTCTGGCCGACTGGCTCCTCTGGGATGTCTCTGCCACTTGCAGCCGGTTTCACAGGCAGCCCGTGGGCAACAGCATGCGGAGTCTACAAGGAAATCAGCCCCCGAGGGGAATTTTGGGTCTTTAGTGACGCAGTCTAACTGCACTCAGGCGGTGCAGGTGTTGAACAGACCCCCACCTGGAAATAGTTAAGTTAATGACCAACCCCCAAATTACTGGAGGTGAAAGAATAGCGGGCTGCCTGTGAGGCCAGGGTGTCGTGACCCTCCCCATCACAGCTGAGCTGAATTTATCTCAAGAGATTCAGAGAGGGAGAATCTGCCACTTCCCTCGATGAAATTTCACTGAAGTGGAATCCATCACCCTGGCAGGGAATGACATTTTAAACTGCTTTAACTTGGTATCAATGTTCAAATTGATTAGCCTATTTCATCTCAATGGAAATTCTCACCTCATTACATTAGCGGCCAAACTTCAAATAATTTTTGAATCAAATACTACTTAAACAGTATTTCAAAATACTTAGCTGACAAAATTCATCACTTAATTTCAAATTACTGCCTGCATTTTATGCTAAATTGTCAACGGATAAAATAGGCATCAGTGCTGGGAGCTGAGGTTTCCTGCTCTGCAGTTTCACAGAAGCCCATTTTCTCTCTGACTTGACAAATGCCTGGCTCCTGGCTGAGCAGTGAGCACAAACTCAAACGGGGACTGTGGACAGTATTTTCTAGCCTTCCAAAACCCGTGTTTCCCCCTGATGGATAGGACACTTGCCAGGGAAGTAAGACAGGTAGGTTTGTTTTTTTTCAGAGAGGGATGTGAGCCGAACCCAAGCCCTTCATTTCTAGTTATTTCTTTAACAGGTAGGGCAGTGTTTTCCAGCCAGGTTGTAAGTGAGCCTAAGATGCTTCACCATCCAAGTTCCCTCTATATCTGGTCTGTTATTTGCTTCTCTTTACTGGCTAGAAACCACCGTGGTAGGCAATGGTATAAAATTCCAGCTCTTGGCACTGTCTCCACCAGCTGTGTTTTAGAAGACATTTTTAATTAACAAAAAAAACCATAATAAAAAAAAATGCCTTGTTTGAGATGCCAGATCCTGTCCAGCGTGGTCTGAAAACACTGCTGCTCCCAGCTCCATCCAGCATTTGAGACCGGTTTAGGGAGCAGGGAGAGCTGCTCCCAGCACACAGCTTGTCTTTTAAAACATTATAAGGAGCAGGAGATGCCTCCTTAGGTTGTGGCATCAGAGTGGGAATTCTGAATATGCATCACAGGTTGGTTTAAACCCTGCTTTAAACACCTCAAGACTCACTGACCTCTGCCTCAGCTGCATTCTCAAAGCTGTGCTGCTACACTGGACTCAG